ATTATCAAACTGCAGCTCACAAAGAAATTTAACCTGACAAACAGATAATACACGCTGAAGTTCACGAACAAAACAGAAATTGTAATGGCATTATCAAATTGAAGGTCACAAAGAAAATAAAAATTGTATTGATATAATGAAATTAAAACATTAGTATATTTTATAGAGCACAACAGTAACGGTAAGATTTTAAAATACTTTGTCACAGCAACAGTAAGTTATTGGAATTGCTGGTGCAGAACGGCTACTTCTCAACTCAAAATTTATATGTATATATGATGTAACTTTTCCATGTTGCATTTTGATAGAAATTTAAATTTATATCAACTTTCAATTTATTCGTAGTGCCACAAAAGTAACCTACCTATTTGAACTAGTTCGCAGGGCAACCAAAAAATGAAGCAGATTGAAGCAGCTATGTATGCGCCAGTAGACCGGTGGGTCAACCGGCCAAACGTAAACACACAGTGAAATGGTGAAATCTCACGCAGGTCCTCAGTTTGGTGAAACTGTTGCTCCGTTCTCAATTTGATATCAGTTTGGTGAAACTATTGGAGATAGAAAAAGTGACTTTTTTCATCAAATTTAAATTTGATACTAAATCTGATATAATGTTGGAGATGGTCTTAGCTAACTATATTTGACTTTTGTCGAATTAAAATCCTTTTTTCCAATATCATTTTAGTAAGTGTCTATTTTAAAAGTCACTAAAAAGTCACTAAAAAATTTTAAAAAATTCAACTCTTACAAAAAGTCAAAATTTTCATTCCATTCACTATACAAAGTGAAGATTCATTACCTTTCACACTACTTTTTATATGTTTTTATAAAAAAAGAAAATTAAATTTAAAAATCATTTTTAAACAACCTTAAAATAGATGGGCATTTTTGGACTTGGAAAAGCATAAGCTTAAAAGCCTCTCCCACATTATGATTATGACAGGCTGTCAATGGTGCAATCTAAGATATTCTATTTGAACTCAAAATATATTTTAGTATGTCTAATTTAAATTTATAAATTTTAATTTTTATTATATTTTAATATAAATTTATTAATAATGACAGTATATATTAAATTTTAAAATAATTTTTTTTTTTTACTTTTATAATATTTTTTTAGTTGACCACATTTGGCTTTTGTCCGATCAAAATCCCTTTCCCAACATCATTTTGGTAAGTGTCTATTTTAAAAATGACTAAAAATTTAAAAAAATTCAACTCTTACAAAAAGCGAAAATTTTCTTTCCATTCACCATACAAAGCGAAGATTCATTACCTTTCACACTACTTTTTATATGTTTTTTTTTTAAAAAAAAAAAAATTAATTGAAAAGTCGTTCCCAAACGCGCTTTTTGGACTTGAAAAAGCATAAGCTTAAAAGCCTCTCCCACATTAATTTATTATTATGATAGGGCTGTCAATGGTGCAGTTTGGGAGCTTTTGTTTGAACCCAAAATATATTAGTATGTTTAATTTAAATTCATAAATTTTAATTTTTATTATATCTTAGGCCTCGTTTGGGAACAGTCTAATTTAGTAATTTTTTGGCTATTTGGCTAAAAAGGTAGGTAAAAAAAACTTGTATGTTTGGGATGACTTTTTGGCTAATTACGAAAAGATGTGCAAAAAGTAGAGAGAAAAGAGAATCTTTGACTTTTTGGTATGGGTTGTTGGCTTTTTGGCTAATTTAGTAACTTTTTGACTAATTGGCTAAAATAGCCTCTTGCCAAACGAGGCCTTAATATAAATTTATTAATAAGAATAACATATATTAAATCTTAAAATAATTTTTTTTTCCTCTTAGTACACCATAATCAATTATTTCTATTCAAATCTCTATATATTTCTCCCCAAGGGATCAAAAGTATTTCTTCTTCTTCTTTTTCTTTTTCATTCTCCCTTCAAAATTTTAATTCACTCTACCAAAATTCACCATCATCATCAACATCATTGTTTTTTATTATTTTGAAACTTTAAACCTTAGAAGAAAGTTTGAACAAAATCAAATAATAGATGAGAGTAATAATCAAAATAGTTTTTTGAAGCAACCCATCAAAAAGGAGGTAAGTATTCGTATAAAGGGATTTCACAATTTTTGTAGAGCACCATCAATTATTTTCTATATCATTTTTTTGACAAAAATTAAAGGGTCCAGTAATTAGATTAAAAATAACATATTATTAGAGTTGTTCTTATTTTGTCATTTAAATAATATATTATTTGAGAACTACTTTTTCTTATTAGTGTCTGATACTTTTGTGCTTATAAGTTTGGTTTTTACTTTTTCACAATCATTTTTGTAGATAATTTGTAATGTAAAAGTTTTTTTTCTGTATTGAAAAGTTTTGTAGTGCTTATGTAAAAGTTTGATTTTTTCTGTATTTATAATGGTTATGTGTTTATAAGTTTGGTTTTTTTTTTTTATTTGAGAATTATTTTCTGTATTGAAAAGTTTTTGAAATAATTTAATTTTTTTTAATTTTTTTTATTATTTATTATTTGGATTTATCTTGACAGTAATTTAAAAAAATAATAAGGTGTAATTAGAGTAAAATAAAATTTAAAATAATTAAACAAAATATAACTAGAAATTGTGAGTACTTAATCATTTTTGTTGGTGTAAATAGAATCCCCTGCAATCTGAGCTGGCCTAGTGTCGCCTTGACTAAGCCCAAACATAGATTGGGCTGCTCAAGCCCGGGCTACTAATTGGGCCAGTCAGAAGAAGCTTGGACCTGAGTGTTTAGTTTTCCCAAACCTTTTTATCAATCTTGTGTGGGTTGAGTTTTGGTATGGTCAAAAAGAGTGTATATATACTTGTCGATTATTTTCATTTTATTTTCAAAAACTAGGACCTTCAATTACAAATAGGTTCTACTTTTAGGCACTGTTTAATTGTTCGAATTGGATATAAAAGTTTGAGAATGATATATAATATCTGAGAAAAAAGATAAGATATAATATGTTGTAAGATATAAGATGGATTATGTATACTGTGAGGTCACTTATACTATATTTTGTTAAGATAAGATATAAGACATGATAAAAGGAGAGTGATTATTTTTTACATTTGAATGAAAGATTCCCTATATCTGATGGTGAGGGATATACAATACCATAGGGAGGTGGTATTGCATATTCCCTTTTTGCATAATATACTATCTGGATTCCCTATATCTAGAGTAACCAAACACAAGATATAGGGAGACAATAAAACATGTGAGACTCATCTCATATTATATCCGACCCCACCCTCACATCTTCCCTATAGATAGAGTAAACAAACAGGGCCTTAAGACTTCTTACCTATTGAATTATATTGATAAATTTATCAAGTGATAATTTATTAGTCTTTCTTGTTTTAATGAATAAATTTATAATGATAAATTTATCAATAGAATCTATAGGTAAATAAGTTTAGTTAATAGGACTAATAGGCAAGTGTCATTTTATATAATTGTTGACACTTTCATCAAAATAAACATCTTATATTAAACCAACTTTTTTTATAGCATAATTCCTAAGAGTTGACGGAGCGGCAAGTTAAGCCATGATAAACGCTTCAAAAAGTGCAAGTCATAAGTTTGATAATTATATACCCAAGTCGAGACAACCGAGTAATAAACTTTTCTAATTTGATTTGGAAACTTTCAAATATCAAAATGTGTTTAAATTTGACTTATTTACCTAATAAGTCAAATTTGAATGAACTTTTTACAAATTGAGCTCAAGTAATTTGACTTTTTATAGTGATTTATAAAATTTTATACTTTAATGTAGCACAATGTGTAAGAAATGGTTTTGGAAAAAAAACAAAAAACAAAACAAAACAGTTTTTTTCTAAAACTTAGGTCTATTGTTTAAGTGGGACTCATGCGCCAAAATTGGCAGGTCTATGTAGCAACGCGTTCTTTGTTGCGTAACAATTTACGTCGTATATTTGGTTACTCAAAATCATTATCGAATGAATAAGAAATTAATGCCAAAATAAGCTCCTTGGAAATGGCACTTTGGTGAGATTTTCATAAAGGATTGAGAACAGGCTTGTTCCACATTACTTGAGTAGGCAAATTTAGTGTGGGTTTATAAGTCTTGAATTTGCATCAAGGGAGGGCCCTAAAGGGTACCCAAGTTTTGTGGAGGGAAAAGTTAAGGGGAAAGTGAGCCTTGACTCATTGGATCCAAAAACTACCACAAGTGCATGCCATCCTCTTGGGCGTGGGTGTAAGGTTGGGTTGGGCTTGTGTAGTCCAATACTTATCTTTTTGGACAAAAAATATTTGAATTTTATTTTTCTAAAATTAAATTCTTACCGTTTGAAATTTGAATTTTGATTTGGAATTCAAAATAAATTCCGAAATGACCCTAACGTTTCTAAACGTTGGCAGTTTAGTCCAATGCACCTTTTCCTCCAACCCAAACAGGTTCTTTACTTGTTCAAAACCAACCCGAACAGGTTCTTTACCTATTCAAATTTGTCCTGAATAGCCACCAAGTCTCATATAAATAGACATGTCCTCCATTTGGTTTTCCATTCATTTTTCATTCTTCTTTTTTGCTTTTGCTTTCTGCATTTTGCTGCATAACTTTTTTGTAAGAAAGAGTATAAACACAAAATATGTTCACCGGACATTTTGTTTGTAATGTTGCTGCTAATTGTCGTCAATCATTTTATTCTGAGAGATAGACATCTACATTCTGAAAATACCGTGGAGAAGACGAATCTATCTTAAGAGGACAATGTTAAATACTGGACTTGATTAAATTTTCAAAAAAATAATACTGCAAGTAGTTTGTTTGTGATTTTCATTTCAGATTTCAAATTTTTTTTTTTTTGGATTCTGCTTTGTTTTGTGTAATAAAATAAGAATCCATTTTTCCATATTTTATTATTCTATGTTCTATTTTGATTTAAGTAATCAAACAGATTTTCTTCTTTCTTAATCAATTCTTCAAATACAGTGAAGATTGTCTAACACAATGTACACAAGACCACATACAAAAACAAAAAATTGGTGAAATTCTTTTAAATATATTCCCAACAACTGGTTTTACAAACTACTTTACAATAACGTAGGCAATACATTCAAAGTGGAGGAAAAAAAAATAATTAAACAAATACAAATGATTCAACAAAAAATCAAGAGAATAACCCTCTTTCTAAAATGCTAAAAAGCTATGAGACCAACAGAACCTGTGAAACGTACCCACCTTAAAAAAGCATAGTACAATTGATCTCAACTATTTGGTTTGTAAATAGTTGGATTTGAGCTTACCCGACACATTTCATGGTTTTTTTTTTTGGATTATGCAAACTCTGGATTGAGTGCTATGGCCTCCTGGTAAATCATATCCTTTATCTGTTCTTCTCCCATGGCTTGTTCAAAATCGAAGGAGAATGACTCTGTGCAGACCGGTTCGTCAGCTATGTCGTGTAATCTTGCTAGGTAAGGATGGGCTAATGCTTGTTCGACTGCAACCACAGACAAATTTTGCTTTTAAAAACAAGAAAAATAAGTGTAAAAATATAAGCTAAATGCATGAATCATAATATTTTAAATCTCAGGGAAGTGAATGATACGTAAAACTTGTGATAAATGCAATGGAACTCCATATGAGACACTGTTGAACTGAATTTCGAACTGACATTGTAAATGCACAACTGCCTAAATTCATCAAACTGTTTTCAAGAAACAAGATCCAAATTCAAGTTCAGTTGTTGGTAGCTCATATGATCCATTTGTGAATGTTCAGCTAGGTATATAAAGTGATGGGGAAAAAATATGAGCATCAAAGACTTCAAGGATAAGAATGTTGCCTAAAACCTTTAGATCATCCTGACAAAAGAAAAATAAATAAGGAAAACTACTGAAAATACTTCAGTTAAGACAACTAATGTCAAATCCATTTCTATTTCACATCAAACTACTAGCTGACAAGACAGGAAAATTACCTGTAATTCTTTTACTGGGATCAAATGTCAACATATTTTCAATGAGATCAATGGCCAACGGATTGACATGTGGAAAAACCATTGCTAACTGCTGGCGAGGATGCTGGGGAAATTGGCGGAGATATCTTCTTGCATCCTCACTCCGAATAAACTCAAGATCCGATTCAGTGGGTGTGCCAAGAAGCTATGAAGAGTAAAAGAATATATGAGCATTCTTCCAGTGAAGAACAATACTCAGATATAAATTCGTAATTCAATCCTATGATCATGTAGAAGAAAATGGATAGACTCTCACTACAGGTCAACATCTTTTGTAGTATAAATCAATTAGAAACAAAATAATGAAAACATTTAAGCCTTAAAAAAAATTAAATTGCATTTACTCGTATAAAATTTAGATCCTGTACTTATTATGTTCCAAGCTAGATCTATTGCTTAAATTTTCATCTTACCTCGATCAATAAGCGCATCTGATGCATGTGATCATTACCCGGAAACAAAGGCTTTCTGTTCATAAGCTCCATAAAGATGCACCCCACAGACCACACATCAATAGCAGCAGTGTACTCTGAAGAGTTCAACAGTAGCTCAGGTGCCCTGTACCATCTGGTGACAACATACTCGGTCATGCCCTCATTCTCTGATGTTGGCCGAGCAAGACCAAAATCAATGATCTTCAGATCACAATTTGCATTCAGCAAGAGATTGCTGGGTTTCAAATCTCTATGAATAACATTTGCAGAATGTATATATTTCAGTCCTCGAAGGATCTGATACAAGAAGTACTGCAAGGAGATCAATCACAAAATTAAGTGTTACTTCTCATTTTTCTTGAAAAAGAAAAATAAAAAATGAAGCTCATAAAGTTAAAAGAGTTTTGCATTGTAACAGGGTCCAAGAAGTAAATGAACAAAATGTATTACCTGACAGTGTTCCTCTGATAAACCTTGATTAGATCGAATTATTTGGTGAAGATCAGTGTCCATGAGTTCCATGGCAATGTAGACATCAGAAAATTCTTGCCGTAGTGGTGGAGGAATTACATCTCTTATAGCTATGACCTGTTTCAAATGTCAAAAAATCAATAACATCAGACTCATAAGTTATTACACTTCCTTGTGCACAAACTGTAGCTCAGGGACACAAAAGGTACTGTTCTTGATATGGTGAAAAGATTAGGTTCTAAATTATGAAAGAAGTTCCTTAGAAAGAAAGAACAATGCTTTGTTTGATCTTTCTATTCTTTTTTCACTTCATCAATCTGGGAACAGGTTTCATTTTAAAATATTACCTGCGTCAATGATCAGAAAAATGACAGATTATTGTTAATGATCTATCTAGATGGAGATTATTACATAAGGACAGACATTTCTAAAAGGTGTCATGTCATTGTCGGTCACCGATGAACTCATTGACACGTGGAAGACACGCATCGAAATATGTCCTATTAAAAATGAATATTGTAGTGACTCATATATCATGTTGTATCTGTGTCCAGTTTTTGTATATGTGCTTCGTAGATTATTAGTAAACAATGGTGAAGAATATTATCATTTTTGCTCTGTAATAACAACTTTCTACAACCAAAATTCTTGCAGAGACACAACTCTATGACTATATAATAAGAAAATCTTGGCAGGTTATTTCATAAAAAGAAGAACAAATACATAAAATGAGGCAAGTTTTGAGGATGTCAATAAATCTTGATGTTTGAACCAATAGTTCACATTGTAAGCATTGTGGGTCAAATTGGCAAGGCCCAAAATGCCTGATTGTGGAAGTGGAAGACCCAGCTGGCATTTTCATGCACCTAGATATAGAGAAACTCATCAGTTCAACTGAAACCATTAATGAAGATGGTAACACTACCACTTCTTTTTCTTTTCTTTTCTCCAAGAAAGAAGCATGTGGAAGTGTCCCCAAAAACTAAAAGCTTGCACAAACCTAGTGCTAGCTGGGACTGATTAAAAATATATGTTGCCATTTCAACAAAATCAAGAAATGATCAAATACTAAAAAACAGGTAAACAAACGCAAGTCTTTTAGGCTGTGTTTAGATCATGAATTTCAGTATAGAATTTGGAAAGGGAAAGGGAAAGGGATCCCTTTTCCTTTCCAAATCACTACCCAAATCTATGATTCAACCACAACTTTAATGACCACATTTTAATTGAAGATTTTTAACCCAACAAGAAAAATCTTTCAGTTTTGATTGTTAACCAGGCATAAAAAGATATGTTGTACTATTTTTTTTTACATGAAACTGGACAAATTCAGGACATAGATTCTTTGATTGTATATACACAAATCAGGATATATGAAATTAGATAGTTAAGGAACACTATTAAGATTCTACACAATTAACAAACAACCACTTACATTTTCGTGATCCAAATGGCGAAGAAGCTTAATCTCCCGAAGCGTACGCTTGGCGTCCATGAAGTTATCAAAAGCATTAGCAATCTTCTTGATTGCAACCATCTCATTCGTCTCGGAATTCATAACCGAGCTTCATAATCAAACCACACAAAAATCAACACACAATGATTCGACACAAAACTAAAAATGTAAATTGTAATTTGAAACTTTCTACATATTTTTTTAAAATGAATAATTTAGTTCATACAAAACGGTGGTGTATCATAAAAAGTATTCCTTGTGTTTGATTTGAGTTTTTTAAATTAAATTTTTTTAAAATTGAATTTTTTTGATTTTCGTATTCTTTTATTTTTAGTGAATATTTTTTAAATTTTAAACTTTTTTTTTTCCTTTTTTAGATGGACCTTAGTTAGATGTATCTAAAAAGTAAAAAATTTATGAAAAAATATTTTAAAAAATTAATAAATACATAAAAATATAAAAAATATACTAAATTCTTGTATTTTTTTATATTTTTAGTATTTAGTGAATTTTTAAATGATTTTTTTTTCAATTTTTTTACTTTTTAAGCGTATTTATGTTAGGTGTGTCTAAAAAGTAAAAAGTTTACTTAAAATATTAAAAAAATTCAATAAAAACAAAAAAAAATATGAAAAATAAAAAAGTATAATTATCCGAAAAGTATTTTCTGAAAAATAAAAACAAGTAAGCTGATTGGTTGACACACGCACCCTCCCATCTAATTTTTTATGTTTTGAATAGAAAAATAGACACTTGGCCATATAAAAAGCCAAAGTTTCACGACAGCATCAGATGCTTTATAAAAAAAATTCACTTACTTTTAAGTCTATTTTTAATCGGAAGTTAAAATTAACATTTTGGGACACTACTCAAATCCTTTCAGAGTAAATTACAATTATTTTCCATTTCGACACTTGAAATTTTTTTATTTTTCCCCTTGACGCTCTGTTTTAATTTTTTTTCCAATTTACTCTAAAAACTACGTTCCATTCAAAGTTAGGACAGAAACGCCACCACATAACGGAAAAAAATATATTATTATATTAAGTTTGTATTTTTATGTTATGTAATTATTAATGTGTCATTTTCTATTTAAATTTAAACATAAATTAATTTTTGGAATAAATTAAAAAAACTTGAACCAAAACTTTAAAAAATAAATAAATAAACTTTAACTTTAAGGACCAAAATGGTAATGACTAAACCTAAAAAAGACAAAATGTAACGGAAAAATAACAGATCAGATGGAAGTTCCAAAAATGATTATATAATAGTGAAAAAATCTATTATTTTAATAATTAAAATTTATAAAACTTATGGATAATTTGAATTTTTTTTCTAACCATCAACTGATGGGTTATTTCCCCAAATGTAATTTACCAATCTTTTTAAGTATACAAGTAGAAAAAATTAATGAAACTTTTGACAGAATAACCAAATTAAAAGTTAAAATTAATAATTTTAGAAAATTTATTAACATCGTATAGTGTACGGAAAGAAAAAAATTAATAAAAAATTTAAACAGAAAAACAAAATTAAAAACTTAACTTAAAAGAGCAAAGCCTAAATTATTAAAATTGAAGCAATAAAACAACAGGTCCAAACTATATAGGAGTGAAAAATGTAATTTATTAAAGTAAAACATACCTAATCATACACAATCAAAAGTCAAACCACTCAAATTCACAAGAAACAGATAGAATTAGATCAATTACCAGACAATTCCATAAGCACCACGACCAATCGGCATGATCGGAGATCGGTACTTGGCCGTGATCTCGAAGAGGTTTCCGAATATGTTGTGTTGAATGAACTGACCTCCGTGAGTCGGAATAGCCGGGAATTCCGGGAATTGACCTGCGACTGTGTTTGAGTCAGCCATTGCTTCTCTCTCTAAGCACTCTCTATCTCTACGGTCTGTATATGAAAACACACACACACTCTCTCTGTCTCTCTCTCTAGGATTTGGGACTCTGATTCTGATATGGGAGAGGATAGAGATGGAGTGGGATTTATAGGGATGACTTGGTCTGGGATTTTGGGGGAGAGTTCTTCAGAGTAAAGTGCGAGGAAGGATATGAGAAAACGCGCCAGGACGCGTTTGGACTGAAACCAATAAAAATTAAAAAAAAAAACAAAAAACAGTTATTTGAGTACAGCCGCCTTCTTGGATGATCGACGGTGGTTGTTTTTCTTGCTTTCCCCATCTCTTTCAACGGTCCCTTCTTTCTTCAAATGCTTTCTTCTTCTTTTTTTGAGATTAATTATAAGATTAATTATATTTAGGTAATGTTAGATATTATGAAAAATATTTTACGAAATTGAATATGGAAGATTTTGGCTCTTAAATTACATATATAATAACTTATAAAATGTAATATAAAGATTGAGATTCGTTCATGATCATTTTTATGAAGCTTTTTTCATGATGCCTAGCATTTTTCATTATATTTATTTAACACTCTTGAATTTTTATTAAAATTTAATTTTAGTCCTTTTACTTTTATGTGTTTACACTTTAAGCTTTCGTTTGAAAAGAATTTTTTTAATTTGACTTTTTAATTTTTTAACTATTTTAGCATGGCTTAAAAAGTTTATTTGGGATAAATTTTTGATTTTTTTTTTAATTTTGTAAGTGAAAAAGTAAAATAATTATGATTCAAATATGACATTTTATCTTATTAATTTTTTAATTTATTTTATCTTTTAATAAATTAATTTAATCCTAATCATCTTATCAAACGGAGGCTAAGTCAAGTTGAAATGTCACTATTTGGCGATGAATAAGTCATACATGACAATTTTCTCTTTTGATTAATATTCTTATATTTTTAAGAAAATCTTATTTTGGATCTTTTACTTTTACCAAAATATTACTTTGTGCCTTTTAATTTTAATTTTGCCAATCTCATTAACAATAGATGAATAAAAAAATAATATTTCAACTTACTTGAAATATAAAGAGTTGACTATTGAAAATGAAGAAATTAAAATAATATTTTTAATAAAAATATAGGAGTCTAACTGTCGTTAATCCTTTTTTTTTTTTTATAGTAGAAAAATGAAATGACTGTTTGAATATTAACAGTGTAAAAAATATATAAAAATATATAATATCTAAATGTGTTTAAAATATAGTTAAAAATGTTATGAAATTAAAATTATTTTCTGTTTTTATTTTTTTTTAACATTAACATGGCAACCTTGGTTGTGACTAATAGGACCTTCATAATACAACAGTTCTACAATCCCAAAAAAAATATCCTAGAAAAATATCTAAAAAATATATTTAATGATTGATATTAATTTCATGTTTGAATTTCACTATAAAAATAAAAAATCTCAACCACACATTCTCTTCTTTCTTTTTGTCCAATTTTTAATATATATATATATATATATATGATCCGTGAACTTTCTATTTATAATAAGGCAAATATTATTAATGAGTGCGTTAAGACTATTTGCTAATATTGGCATTTAAATGAAAAATATTTTGAAGCTAAATAAAAATATTAAAAATTATTTTTGAATTTGGTGAAAAATATTTTAATCTGATAAAAAAGTGTCTTCTTCTTTTTTTTCTTTTTCTTTTTTTCTTTTTTTCTTTTATGCCTTGGGAAAGACCCTTCAAATAGTCCGAAGACTTTTTCTTACGTGTGAGTAACTCACTCCTCATCCACCTGCATAATTGGTGTACACGTCGGGTACATATTAGTCAAATGAAGGAAACCATAGATGGCTTTGAAGTTGCCTTTTTCTTATAATTAGACCCCAACTTTGAACCATATAAATTACGCTCCATCTCTTTTGTAATTTGAAAAAAATATAATTCAGTGTGTTTAGTTTGAATTTTTTAAATTAAATTTTTTGATTATTGATTTTTTTATTTTCGTATTTTTTTATTTTTGGTGAATATTTTTTAAATTTTAAATATTTTTTTTACTTTTTTAAATACACCTTACTTAGATGTATCTAAAAAGTAAAAATTTGTAAAAAAATATTTTAAAAAATTAATAAATACATAAAAATATAAAAAATATACTGAATTCTCGTATAATTTTTTATATTTTTGGTATTTAGTGAATTTTTAAAAGATTTTTTTCACAAATTTTTTACTTTTTAGGTATATTTATGATAAGTATGTCTAAAAAGTAAAAAAATTGCTTAAAATATTTTAAAAAATTCAGTAAAAACAAAAAATACGAAAAATTAGAAAGTAAAATTTTTTAAAAGGTGTTTTTGAAAAAATGGAACCAAGCAAAGTGATTAATTTTTTATTTTTTTATATAAGTACATTAATCTTGCAACCGATCTCATTTGATGGGACTTAAAACTTGATTTAATTGGTTTGGTACAAGTACATTAATCTCTTTTAAAATTTTAACTCATATTATAATTATATCAATTTTTATCAAGAGTTTGTTAGTGGTATAAATAAAAAAATAATATTTGTCTTACCTTTTCTACTAAAATATATTTATTTTTATTTATTTCAGTATCTACTCATCATCTGTATTAATTTTGATCAATTTAATTTTACTGAAAGGAAGATTAATGTAATTATATAATTGTGAGACTGGCTGTATTTTTCTTAATATCCAAAGAGGGTGTTTACCCCAGAATATGTATTTTACACTCTTTTTTATGAGAAGAGATAGAACTTGTTACCTGAGGTTATATTTAGGGTTGGTTTGTGGTGTTCTAAAAAAAATGTACTTTTTGTCTTTTTACGAAAAGATGTACAGAAAAGTAGAGAGATGATGTGATGGAAAAAAGATAAAAAGATGGATTATATAATAGAGGCCAAACCAAGCCTTAAAGAGGATAAATTATACTACGTACCCTCCTAAAGTATGACAATTTTTACATTGGTTGGTAAAATTTATTTTGCCCTATTTTAATCTTAAACTATTCAATTATTTTATTTTATTTTTTTTATCACCCACTTGGTGCTCAAATACATGTTAGTATTATTATTAGTTTAGCATCGCCAATGCTTTAGAATTAGGCTTGGTTTGGGGTACACTAAATAATACAAAAAGTTAAAAAATCACTATTTTATTTAAGTCACATCATCTTATTTAAATCACATCACCTCTCTAACACATCACATCAAACCCAACTCAAATCCAACTCATATAAATCAATAAGTTAAAAAGTACAATTTTTTTAAAATATTTCAAATCAACCCTTACATGAGTATTATTCCTAAAATAATTTTTTAAAAAAAACATAATATATGCTTTGACCATTCTTGTTTTTATGTTTCAGTGGCATACTTTGACTGACTTTCTCGTAAATCTAACCAGAAAAATATTTGATGCTTCAAAATGAATGGGAAAACAGAAAAGGGAAATATCAAATAAATAAGAAAAAATCTTTGGGTTTTCACATGGTCTTCAAGAGAAATGAATGTTGTACTTTATACTTGGGGGGGACAACAACGGTTTGGATCGGGTAACACTATAAGAATATATGAGCCGTTTGGGTTGAATTAAAATTCTTTATCTCAAATTCAATTTAAAAATTAAATGGGAGATTTTATTTACATCCAAAAAATATTAAGTACATAATTATACCTTAATGTAAATTTATTAATATAGGCAACACTTATTAAATGTTAAAATAAAATATTATTTTTTTTTCATAATACATCATAATCACTTATATGTATTCTTCATATTCTTTTTCAAATTTCAATTGTTTTCTCTTATTCTTCTTCCTCACGCCAAAATTCCAAACCACCCGACCAAAATTCATTATTATCATCAATATCATTATTTCTTATCCTTGCAAATAGAAAAAGTTTGAACAAAATCAAATAATAGATAAGAATAATAATGAAAACTGTTTTTTGAAACAATCCATCAAAAATGATGTAAGTATTTACATAAATATCAAAATACAATTCTTGATTTCTATTTTTTATTTTATTTTATAAAACAAATATTTAGCTTATTTAACATTATTGTTGTTCAGACTTTCATATCCGAGCAAATTCACTTTTTTCAACGGTGTATTGCCGAACAATATCAACATGTTCGGATATGAAAGTCCAAACCAAACAATAGCCCTGTTTGGTAGAGCTTATTTCCAGCTTATTTCAGCTTTTAGCTTAATTTAAACTATTTTGATGTGTTTGGTTCAGCTTAATAATACAGCTTATATCTTTTTGTAAGTCAAAAATCAATTTATTCATTGAGTGGGGGAGGAGAAACTTAATTTATAAGTCAAAAATCAGCTTATGTTCACAATTATAAGCTATAAGCTGTTAGGTTATAAGTTATAGTGCCTGTTTGGCAGAACTTAAAAGCAGCTTATTTCAGATTTCAGCTTAATTTAAGCTATTTTGATGTGTTTGGTTTAGCTTATAACTTATAGCTTATACCTTTCTGAAAGTCAGAAATCAGCTTATTCTTTGAGTGGGGCAGAAGATGCTTAATTTATAAGTCAGAAATCAGCTTATGTTCATAGTTATAAGCTATAAGCTGTTTAGACATAAGCTATAAACACTTTCCCACAGCTCTACCAAACAGGGCCATAATCACTTTCCCACAACTCTACTAAACAGGGCCAATATTGTTCGGCATTGTAAGTCCGAACATGATAACTTTGTTCGGATTTAAAAGTCCAAACAGCAATAACATTAAACAGATTGAATATTCGTTTTAAAGTATAAAAAAAAAAAAACACATAAATCAAGAATTGTGGAGTGAATGAGCTCCGGATAAGGATTGTGATCGGTGGTCAGCGCAAAGTTCAAGCTTTAAGTTGGAAGTTCTCAAGCGCCAAGCTTGGTGAATATGAATGCAAATGCGAATGCAAATGGGAAGTTCTCAATTTTCAAGCTCGAATGCGAAGTTTACCCTCTTGTTCTCCTTCGTCGTCCTCCGGTGCCGCTTTCACCATGTTGTGTTCACTGTCGTTGAACAAGAGGAAGGTTTTTCAAAAGTTTTTCAAATAATTTGGAGTTTTTAAATTTTTTTGTTATTTGGGTATATCTTGAAGGATAATTTAAAAATATATATATATATATATATACAGTGACGGAGCCACACCTACTCAAGGGGGTCACGTGCCCCCCTCCCTCCGGTTTTGGATTTAATTTTTTTTTTGGCAA